AACTAATCTTTACGGGAGACAGCTACATATAAGCTGCCGGGCAGCGCATAAGTTTGACGGTGGAGACATCGAGGTGTTGGGTGTGTGCAGGAAGTGAGTGGGACGTGCTGTGGAGGTAGCGTGTTGTTTCGCATGCAGTATGGTTTGGTGTCGGAGAGCAAGGTGTTCTGCTTGGCGAGGAGCGTTGCAATGGAGGATGACAGGGTGCGTCGTTGGAGCTGTGGAATGTAGCGCTGGAGGCAGAGCCGCGAGATGAAGGGCTACGTGTGGATGGCAGGAAGAAGGACGGTGTGGGTGCTGCGATTCGAACGTGTTTGGGATGGAGTATGTTCTGTTTGTGGGGTGGTCAGGAGAGCGCAGGAAGGTTGGGAAGTGTGCAGGTGTTGGGTGTTGGCTGCGTGTTGGTGAGGATGATGGGTATAATAAGAGGCGCTAGACACATACCATCCGAGGAGTGTGTGAGGATGGAAGCGGCGAGTTGAATGGAGGGCAAGTGGCAATCAGCGGCGCCAGCGTTCGTAAGGTCGACGATTTGTGAAGCCTGTGCGTGTAGCAGGCCACCTCGAGGTAGTGTTTTGCATCAACGCACCGCCACCGTCGTTCCGGCACACAGCAATGTCAAGATTGAGCAGCGAGCGTGTTTGAGGAGGGAAGCGTTGTGTCGTTGAGTCTGCACAGGAGGACGTGAGTCAGAAGAGCACTGTGAGTAGTCCGTTCGCCGAATTGGCTTTGGGTGTTCAGTGGTGGGGTAGCTGGCATTTTTCGCTCGTTTGCCAGCGGTATGACGGTCAGGATGATTTGAACGTGTTTTGGATGAAATATGATCTTGTGCGGTGGCCAACAGAGCGCATCAATCTTGGGAAGTGTGGAGGCGTTATGTGTTGGGTGCATGATGGTAAGGATGATGGTTATAACACGTGCTAGACGCATACCATCCGAGGAGTGGGTGAGAAGGCACGCGCCGACTTGAATGCAGGGCAAGTGGCAATTAGTGTCGCCACTATTTGGAAGGTGGACGGTTTCTGCAGCCCGTGGGTCCAGCATGCCACATTTGGTGCTTTGCAGGAGCGGGTGAATCGAGTCTTCACGGGAGCAAGCTACATATAAACTGCCCGGACGCGCGCAAGGTTGACGATGGAGACATCGAGGTGTTGGGTGTGTACAGGAGAAGGTAAGTGGGACGTGGGGTACAGGTATATCATGCGAAGCGAGGAGTAGTACGTGCCTGGTCGCATTGGACTGGGAACTGGGGGGATAGGAAACGCCAGCTATTGAACGCCTGCATGAGTTCACACCTTCTCAGGAGGTGCGTCGCTCGTACCATGAGATTTGATGATTACTCGCGGCGGAACCGCAAAGCAGTTGATGCACTGAAATTGTGCAGATGCAGAAAAGCAGCTGCAGTTGGATATGATGGTAATTGAGAGAGCGTTGTTAAAGTATATCGTATTCCAAGGTAGGTGTTGGAAGCAGTGTGGCCCTGTCTTGCACACATCAGGGTTGGTGATATGTGCGTCTTTATTACTTGTGCGTTCTTCGTAAATGGACACGGGATACAAAGCTATTGCGCACGTAGCTGAGAATCATTGCATGAGGGGAGCCGGCTGAGATCCTATGCGTCAGTTGAAAGAGTGCGCCTACCACGCGGATGTTGCGTTGAGACAGTGTTGGTTCTGGCTTCTCTGACTGCGAAGAAACAAGAAATACATAGAAGGTGCAGCCTGCAGGGCTGCTAAAGAAGCTAGGCGTAGCAGCAGGAGGGCTGGTTTGTGGCGTGCCCTTTGGCCTCGTGGCGGGTATTCGTTCCGTAGATAGCTCTACCTTGTGTTTGAGAGGATTGCTTTCGCTTTTCGAGGCTACGTGCAAATGCATGGGGGTTTTACAGGCAATATGGATCTTAGATAATCTCAGAGCGGCAGTACGGACATGTTGGGCCGTGATTCCCGCACACGGAGGCGACGCTGTGTTTGTTTGGCAGATTCCCAATTTCTCTAACGGTGCCAGCAACTTACTTGCATTGCGGTAGATGGCTTGCGACTTTCTCCAGGCCGTGCGCTCGCCTGTGACGAAAGCTAGCAGGTTGCTGCCAGGGTTCACGCGTACAACTCAATAAGCTAGGCGGAACGAAGCAAAATAATTGTGCAGTGTGGCAGGGCGTGGTACGTGTGAACTGGATGTGGTTTGCGCGTACTGGGCTGCGGGTTGCTTTTGCAGGGTGGAGACTGCAGTGTAAAAGGACCTTGTGCTACTGAGCGTGTATCCTGCGCAAATAAGGAAGGTGTTCACAATAGCCAAGCTGGAGGCGTGGTGCTGTCGAGATGCCGGCCTAAGGGCAGCGCGCCCGAATTGGCTGTGGTGGGGGACCTGGTTTAATTTTTGGCGCGGCTGGTGTGATGCATTTAGAAAGTAAGCCACTTCTTGGAACGACATAGAGTTGCTGCTTGTAATGAAGCATCGTCAGGGATTGCACTATGCCAATGACGTAGAGTTGGTGCAGAGAAAGAGGGGTTGTGCATACAATAGTTAAACGTCCGTATGTGTCTGAAGAGCTGTGCAAACCCATCTCCTTCACAATGCTGTAATGTAGGCAATGCCTGTCTTCCAACGCACGCCACCCCGTACAAGTCACACAAACCAACCCCATAAGAAGTTGACGAGGCAGCATGCCCTCAAAGGTTCATTCGCAATGTATGGCCGGTCTGCTATGATGAGCGAGTTGCTTAATCAAGAATAGTATGGTGACATATTTCGGTTTCGTCTTCAACAAGATTTGCTTGGCACTGTGTGTGAAGGTTGTCGAGCTATATGGAGCTATTTTCCAGGCACGTGCTGCACAGAGGGATGCACGTCAATGCCAGGCTTGGTATGCAGATTTGGATGTTTTCCAATCAGGCTAAATGGCAAGCTGCTGTGGACCTTCGGCAGGGAATGCTCGAAAATCCGTAAGCCTCGCGCAAATATTTTGCCTTAGTAGCGTCTAGGCCAAGGGCTTGCCAGCCCATCATTGCGCTGTTCAAGACACACTCAGGTACTGCAGTGCGTTGCCGTAGACGTTGCGCGAATCGATGCCGGTTCTGCGGCGGGCGCTGCTGGGGTTCGATGTTGTGGGACACGCCTGCAGGAGGCCCGCCTTAGCCTGAATTCTCTGGGTGATGTACCTGCGTGCAGAGAGTAAGTCGGATCTAAGGGATAGCCCACGCGTGCAGCTAATGAGATGGCCTCAGGCTCGCGCTACGGCGGCTCGCTTGGTGTCCTCCAGGCGAAAAAACTATAGAGCGATTAGCAAGGACGGAATTGCGCCATGTTGCAGAGAAGCGACACGCGCAGCGTCTCAAAGACGTTTTGAATTGCGAACGCTAAACATGGAATGCGGACTGGACTTTGTACGCTGAAGCAACGGCAAACGGCTGCGTGGGACTTCGTGTTTGCAAATGATCGTGTCGTATTGGCCTCTTGCTTTTCTTGGCGCTCAGTGCGATTACTGAGTGTTGTGCAATGATTTGTTGTTGCCTGTACTGGAAGCAGTTCATTTGGAGGCAAACCAATATTCGGGGACAGCACAGCAGTTGAGTGCAGAGAAACTGTTCAACAATTGTTTTATACGCTGATGCTTCGTTAAGAGCAAACTGTTGTGTGTTACTCGAGCCAGCACCTTCAATTTTTGCTCTGTCGCTGTTTGCTTGCATGCCGTGGGGTTGCGCATATACCTCTGATTTCACACAGGTTTGGTTTTATGCTGTTGAAGAAAGTATGTTGCTCTTCATGCTAGTCCCGCGGATACTGTCAGTAAAAGCTACGTTCCTTCTTGTCATGGACGATGCTCCCAGGATCTAGTATAGCGCACAAGCTGCTAGGCTGCATAATGTTACTACACTGCGAATGCAGCGCGAAGCCGACCTCCGTAGGCAGTAAGTGTCCACAACGGTTTATCAAGTTCGCGTTTTTGTTACAGCACTCGACTATGCGTTTTGGTGTATGCTGATGCGAAGGCCGCGCGCAGAAGCGACCGCATTTGCTATGGATGAGCGCCTTTTTGCTGTGCTCTTCTGCTGCGTATCCTGGGTTTCTTGAGGCAGCACGTTAGAAAAAGTCCATTCGCAGTGTCTCACCTGTCTGCAGGATCGAGCGAGCTGCTGCATCCAGCTTAGTAGGACGAGAAATGCAACTGTCGTCTGCCTGTGCAGGGTTTATGTCGAATTGTGCGTGTCACCGATTCTTGAGACACCTCCAAGTGAAGCGTTGAGGAGACGGGTGCATGTTAGTGCCATGCTCGGCCTGCTGGTTTGCATGTATGCTAATCAGAATTAACGATGAACTACTGTGGTTGGAATGGTGTTGCACTCCCAGGACCCTGGAGTGCATTTATAAAACGAAAACATCGTAGATCTGGTTGGGTCTGTCGACACCAGAATGCATTGTTTACGTCATCCTGTGTCGCTGTGCCAGTACAGTATTGCTGCACAGGTTGCATGAGTGGCTGCTAGTTTAGAGACGGGTGGTGCAGGCGAGCAGCGGCTTTCCCAGGGTGAGCGTTGCACATTGTTGGCCGTGGCAGGAGAAGGCGCGCCTTAGCTTGCATTTGTCATGCCGTGGACGTCCATGCAGGAAGTAGGTTGAATTCACGTTTGGTGCTGATGAGAGTCCGCCCCAGGCTTGCGCTACGGCTTCTCGCTTGCTGTCCTTTAGGCGAACAAACTATGGAGGGAGCAGCAAGGCCTGAAGTATGCTCGATTGCGCATAAGGGACGTGCG